ATTCTACTAAAATGGGAAGTTATAAAATAGGTAAAAAAAAAAAAATTAAACTTTATTTATAAAGTAATACTAACGCACATCAACACTAACATAGTTGTTCAAATATAAAGAGGTAGATAGCATAGAAAACACATCCAAATGCACCGGACCATGCCAAGTCATGCAACATTAAACCAATATATTCTCTTAAAAGATACGGAACCAATCTATTTATTAGAGATTATTGATCTCCTAAAGTGGACGCCCAAGTAAAGTCAGACCTAAACATATTCAACCACCTCATTTTATCTCTGTCACCGAATTATGCATAAAATTTTCTCCCTTTTCTGCCGGCCATCCTATCAGTCGAGTCATTGGGATAAAGGATTTTCGGTGGAAACAAAACACTTTTCCTTAGGATCCTCGCAAAATTTCATCTCTTCTTTTGAGCCCCCTTCCGAGGGCTCTTTGACTGCTAGTTCTCAGGTAAAATGTATAAAATGTTATTAAAGAAACACAAAAAGGGGATATCACTATAGCATTGTTGTAAGAAAAAAATAAGCTCATGCTTTGACTTTATTCCTTGATCATTATCTAAAAAACTTAAAAAAAAAAAAGGTAAAGTCTAGGAGAAGTTGTAATAGACAACACAATAGCTAAAATGCTAAATATTAAAACCGAAAGGTTTAATCATAAGAGTAATGCTCCCCTACCCACGGTGGACACATGTTAATATGCCCACCGCTTATGTGGCATGCACACATTGGTGATGTTCAATACACAAAAAGCATGTTGGTGCATTTATGGATTGCTTTTGTCAAGAATCATAAAATATTAAAAAACATAATGTAAAACTACAAAACCTAAAATTCTGAAGCAATAAACAGAACACATGAAAAACAATCAAATCTTCAGGACGTACCATATTTGAAAATATCTAGCGTTCCACAGGCTGAGACTCCGGACCTTCCATTTTCATAGTATGTATGCGCTAATGTGAGTTAGACTTGTTTTAAATGCACTTGTACATGACCTTACAAATCTTCGCCTCCAAGTTAGATACTGATTGAAATAACACAAAGAACTTACGGAAACTCAGTCAGACAAGATAATAATACTACTAATTAGAAAACATAAATGAATAAAGAATGATGTATATGAACATAATGAATGAAACACACTTTGATAGAATAGACACATGGGAATATTTCATAGCTTTATACACATCAACCATAATAAAAAAATGTAAACAAATAAAAAAATTTGTATTCAATGATCGAAAATACTTATGGATGTGATATGTAGTACAATTTTAACGACATTATTTTCTCCAATAGAAGAAATGAACTTTGTTGTCTTATGCTAAATTTGCGGCCACATAGCTCACAACAAAGTGTTGCACACCCATTCTCAAAATGCATATTAATTTTCTCATTTGCAAAATAGTTGTACATACATACTTGCATTGGGATGTCTTCTTTAGAAGTTGAATATTCACCTTTAATCTCATGTAGAATTACTTGCGCCTAGCTTTAAGACCATTTGCGTTACACAAAAGATATGTGGTAGAACCTAGAAAAAAGAAGGAAAAAAGAACAAACAAAAAATAGATCTAATCAATAGTAAAATTCACACATAATAATCAAATGAAAATTGATTTACCAGCTCTGAAACATACTCTTTTGCAATAGATACATAATCAGGTGTAACACATTTTTCAAATAATGCACCTTGCCAGAATCATCCATTCTATCACAACCTATATTTTTAGAAATGGTTTATGTAAATTGCTAGTGATTTTTTTTTTTTTTTTAAAAAAAAACATGGAGATTATATTGTTCTAGGAGCATCAATCAAAGTCAAGAGATCAATTATGACTGAGTTTGAAAGTTATTGTTTATACACGAAAAAAATATTTTTTCTCGATCAGAACAAAGGAAAAATTCAGTGAAAATCTACCTTGATGGAAAGGTAGCAAAAATAAATTCACTCATGTTAGGATAATAAAACCTGAAACTGATTGTGCCAGTGCAATACCAAAAGGAGATATGTCA